ATATATACACATATATATGTAGTATATATATGTATATATATATGTATACATATTACGGATTGAGCGTTTCAAGTCTGGAACCCTAGCGGATTGCTACGTAGGAGCGCAAGCATAATACCAGGCAGAGTGACGCAGAATACGATTGCCAATTTCCTGATGATCTTAAATATAATACAACCCATGCTCCTTGTATTCACCAACTATTTATTTTTGTCCAGCATTCTTTTAAAATGTATGATGCCGTACTAGAATTAGGCCGGAAGGTGTAGAAAGCAACAAGCTATCGGAAAACCACTCGATTCTTCATTCAGTCGGAGTTCTCTTCCCGCGTACATTCCAAAGTAGTTACAAACGGAAACCCAGCTCCTCCGTGATCAGAAGAAACTGCATACAGGCATCAAAATTGAAGATTAGTGTTCAAAATATATTTTTAATAATACAAGAGCCCTCAAAACAGATACAGCAGACCATGCATTTTGACGCGTTGCAGTGAAGGTATAATACTGAAAGCACAATGAAGCGTATACAATATCAATAACACTGTATGATGTGAATAACACCAAAAGCGTACATCTTACTACACATGTCCAATAATGATAGTGTACGCGATTAACATACTAATGGAAGTCACAGGTTCAGAGCCTTGTATATACATCATGTTTGGCTCGCATTCATTTGACCATTCCAGATTCCACGTTGAAGCCGCCGTATAATTCACACAAAAAGCCCGATTGGCGGTGTCTGATGGAAAATTCGACATTAAGCACACGGTAGGATCTACTCCATCTACATCGTATAGAAGAGAAACCCCCGCATTTCCGGCATCATTATTTATCCTTCTAATCTCGAATTTCTTGTCTGCATGTTCAGGATTTGCAATGAGAATTTCCTCATCGGTGTAGATATGTAGTGTATCAGAATCGGTGTCATGTATCATGATTTGTCGTGTACAGTCATATATCCCCTCCGGTTTAAAATCGGCTTTATTACACTTGGAATCTCCATCGTTGCCCGTGGAAACGCCAAGTGTGATACCGGCAAGCTGTGCCAAACAGCCGAAGAGAGTAACTATGTTATAATAGCCAAACATACTATAGTTGAAACTACTCGTTTGCAGCGTATACTATCAGCCTCTAGAGGAGATTGTGCGCTTGTCAGGTACTTGAAATTTACTTTGGTAGTGATGTGCTCATTAGGGTATATATGCAACGCTGCAGAGTGCAGAGTTGGTATTTTTTGTCGACTTGAGATATGGCCAATCGTTGGCGTGGGGTTTTTTATACACAGAGACTATTGGATAAACCCACACCCAAGAATATCCCGGAGAGGATGATAAATAAAAGCAAAAATGTGTTCTTTTTTGGAGGCTATGAAAAATGTGTTTTGTTTTTTGTTTTGTTTTGTTTTTAAAAAAACCAATAGAAAAACAAAAACAAAAACATGCACACTGTGTGCTTAGTTTAAAAATACATATGCACAGAAGTATTTAAAAAAATAAAATTCTAGTCCCCCATAATATATTTTGAACAGCCGATAAATAGATAAAAAATATATGGCTAAATTTTTGTTGCGGATCTTAGAAAACATTTTTTTGTATTGCCAAAATGTCGTTTCACAATCCGGGACTTTTAGATTGGTGTATTCATTGTTGGCTATAACACCCGACCCCAACAAAACTCGACGGCTTTGACCTTCTGCCTTCCGGTCTCAAGACCTTTCGATCCCAATGTCTGGTTAGAAATTTTTCATCTTTGTGTGTATGCAATGCAAGTGCCGAAAAGTCCATTTTACCCACTACTAGTAGAGTATAGTGTGAATAATAAAACATTTGAGCCAGGAAAAAGTACATAGTATACCTAGTGTAAACATAGGGGCACCATGTGTCCAGAATGCCGCTTTTGGAAACTCATCGGTTTAGGCCTTTAATCATTTTCTGCCAAAAGCAACCATTCATTTTATATATAAAATGATCTGGCTATTATGGAAATAATTAGGGTTGAAAATCAGCTTTTATACTGCATAAAAATATTTTTTTAGAAACATATTTGCTTGGGAATGTACAATTTAAATAGGAGGCTATTGGGAATTTGTATCAATTTTATCTGATTTGTTTTTAATTAGAAATAGATCTCAATATGAGACTGAGTCCATTGGGAGCGTCTATTTGTTTTTTTTTTCAAAAACAGCTAATAAATATATATTTAGTTTCTGTTGTATTTGTTTTATTAATATTATTTTATTTTTTAACCAAAGCATTAACAAATATATTTATAAATATTGGACTCTTTGGTTTTTGGAAGAAAATCACCGTTTGATTTTCTTCCATCATCACAATGGAGTTGACTTTGGATCTTCTTACATCAGTTTCAGCCTTTCATAAATCAGGAGACTATGTATGCAAAATAAATATGTACAGTTGCAAACTCAAAACTTTCAATCAAAGCCTGAAGTTATGGCACTTTGTCAGCAGCGCACAACACAGAGCAAGTCATACCTGGCGTTACTAGAGTGTGAGCCCGTGACATACATACAGATATGCGAACCTCGTGACCCCCCTATATCGATATGAACTGTGTCCATGCTTTGTCAGCGGTCGAAAATCCTGTTGTATATTCTCCAGAGATCATAGAAGCCTCGACACCAAAAATGGTGGAACCAGACAATAGAAATGTGTTCGTACATATCAAACAGATATTACTACGTATGCGTCGGTGGGGAAGAAGCGGGCAGCGGCAGCTGCTATCACTAGCAATATTAGCTACGTACGTCTCGATTCCCTATATATACAATTCCATTAAATCTTTAGATGCACATGATATTGTGAATTCATACTATAATTTTGTGCTGGATGTAACCACAAGCGTGCTTGAGAACGCGTTTCTCATCACATTGATGTTGACGTTGAATTCAACGGGAAACTTACAGGTGCGTACGCAGACACACACACATATGCGCAAAATTGGCACTCCAGTAGTCGTTAAAAGACCGGAGACCGCGATGATATTTGAATTCGTAAAGCACGCTACAAGATACCTTGCTTTACTACTATTGCAAATTATAGCCATAGCAAGTGCCTACGGCACAGCACAATTCATGTACGTAACAGGGAATATGCCTACAGTGACCGAGTTTGCCAGTATCGACATACACGCAGCCATGAACAATACGTCTTGGTCTCTGCTGAGCTCCATAGTTTTTCTTTACACCACAGCAAACCTTGTAGCTATCAACGTGTTAAGTATAGAGGCGAGGGGAAAGCAATTGACAGTTGTAGGCCTATGCTTGGTATTATTCACAGTTTTCTTAGGGGGAATGGCACCGCTATCGTTTCTCACCGGAGCCTACTTGTCACCAATATTTTCTGGTATGTCTGATGCAGTGTCCCGAAGCGAAGCAGCCTATGCGAGAATGTGTGGACTATAACAGAGTAATAAATGTATCACCTAGCATATACATGGCTTCAATTGAAGGTGTTTGTGACTGTCTTTTCAGTGTTTCTCACGTAATAAGGAAGAAATAAATGGTTTCGCTTAACAGTGTCACCTTTAAGGCAAGATTACGACGGTTGCGATATTTCAGGGGATTATAAAACTGCGACGGTGAACTCATATGAAGGTGCGACGTACACTCAACCTTGTGTACGCAGCTATATGCACAAGAAAATTATTTGTAGGCTCAACCGAACGCATACTAACGAAACTAGTAGTGAAAGAACTTAGCAAATTCCTCAAACGTATACGTACAGAATTATTTTATGTGGTATAATTACACCGAATGCAAATATGTACAACCATATAAGTGCATATTA